TGTGAATATTTCATGGAATATTAAAGAAGTATGAGAAAGTTGAATATATAGAAGTATAAAAAATAATCAATAAGCTCACTACATAGTAATTTCTTATAACATTTTGTTATAATCCTTCCAAAATTTCTATAATTTATTCATTTTGCAATTGTGTCATCAGAGCTTTAATATTTGCCATGCAGTGCAGGGTGGTAAGAAATAGAAACTAAAGAAGCAGAAGGATGGGCAGAAGAAGTAGAAGCATTTAATGCCAAGACAAGTTTCATGTTACAAATCAAGTAAGAGTTTAAAAGCAGTTGAGGGTATGGTACCATTTGCTTCTATTCCAGATGTATTCAGGTAAGAAACAAGAAGCTTTATCCTGTGACTGTGAAATGTCTGAGTTTATATAAAACTTACATTAAAAAAGCACACAATCTCCTAACATTTTAAAGAGATAGGGAATGGAAGTATACTATTTTATTACTAAGTACTTTTAAATTTACAAACCACATGTCTAGTAAATTGTTACTTTCTTAGTCAATTATTTTCTATCGAAGTACCTAAGCTTAGAGTTTATCAACTTATGCAGGTGAAAGCACATATTTTATGAAAACTGGCAATAGTCTCCAACTATTATTATAGACCTTATGATCAACTTCTAAGCAAGTCTTTAAATAGAGGGTTTTCTTATCAGAAGTTTATTTTTCTCTATAATAGTCCTCTAGCTCTTTCTTTAAAATTAGTTCATTATGTTATGTGAGTTACACACGGCATCATCTTGTTTGGCAACTACAAATTCCTAGAATGCCCCAGAGAGGAATTGGCCTTCCTTGTTAGTGTTGTATTTGTCTTCATCCACTCTTTTAGTCACATTGGCAAGTAAACTAACTCTTCCCACTGAATGAGGATGCAAGACTTATTTGAGTTGAAATAGTTACCTAGCATTTCTCTTCACTTCCACAAAGTGCATTATTTTGTGGATACTAGAGGAGAGCAATAGCAGTGTGGTCATGTGGTATCCATCCTTGGTTTCATAACAAGGTAGATCATTAACTGATACAGAGTAAGAGGTCAAATATTGATCCTTTAGGATTACAGGTTACAACAAAGGATGGATGGACTACCAAAAAAGAAAGAGCCTCAGGGAGCAGCAGGATATGGTGGCTTGTTTTGTAATCAGAGGCAATTTACGATGCAGGAAGTCAAAGGACTCTGTTAGTCACTGGCGAAAAATATTTTCAAAGCTTGCCATAAAGCCATTTGGACTTGGTTTATAGCCTGGAATTGTAGAAGGAGATACCCTGAGCTATTCACTAATATGTATTCACCTTGACTCTAATATGTAGCAAAATTAATATTATTACAAATGAAAAGAGTATGAAGAGAAAGGAAAAATCACCATTCTCTTATAAGGAAGGCATCTTTTGCCACTAAGACTTTTCAAAACAACTGTTTACTTACTGATCTGAGAAGATGATAGACCAATTAAAGGATATTCTCAGTCTTAAATTCTACACATTATAATTCAGTTTATCTTTTTCACACATTAAAAATAATGTTAGCTCTATTTTCACAAAAACAGTCCCCCATTCCTTGAATAAAATGCACACTTCCTTCTGGGTTTTTTTTTTTTTATTTTTGGAGATGGACTCTCGCTCTGTCACCAGGCTGGAGTGCAGTGGCATGATCTTGGCTCACTGCAACGTCCACCTCCTGGGTTCAAGCGATTCTCCTGCCTCAGCCTCCCAAGTAGCTGGGATCACAGGTGCACATCACCATGCCCAGCTAATTTTTGTATTTTTAGTAGAGACGAGGTTTCACTATGTTGGCCAGGATGGTCTCAATCTCTTGACTTCGTGAACTGCCCACCTCAGCCTCCTGAAGTGCTGGGATTACAGGCAAGAGCCACTACTCCCAGCCCCTACTTTTTAAGATTAATTCTCATTTTCTCTTTTAAGATTAAAATGAGTTCCTCATCAGCAACAGAACAAGGCCTGATGGAGAATGAGTGCGTTCCATTAACAGAAGTGGGCTTCAGAAGGTGGATGATAAGAAACTTCTGTGAGTTAAAAGAACATGTTCTAACCCAACGCAAAGAAACTAAGAACTTTGAAAAAAGGTTTGATGAAATCCTAATGAGAATAGATAATTTAGAGAGGAATGTAAGTGAACTAATGGAACTGAAGAATACAATACGAGAACGCTGCAAAGTATGCACAGGTTTTAACAGTCAAAGTGATCAAGAAAAAGAAAGGATATCAGAAGTTGAAGACCAACTTAATGAAATGAAACGAGAAGACAAGATTAGAGAAGAAAGAGTAAAAAGGAATGAGCTAAGTCTCCAAGAAATATGGGACTATATGAAAAGACCTAATTTATGTTTGATAGGTGTACCTGAATGTTATGAAGAGAATGAATCCAAGCTGGAAAATATTCTTCAGGATATTATTCAGGAAAACTTTCCTAACTGAGTAAGGCAGAACAATATTCAACTCCAGGTAATACAGAGAACACCACAAAGATATTCCTCAAGTAGAGCAACTCCAAGACTCATAATTGTTAGATTCACCAGGTCTGAAATAAAGGAGAAAATTCTAAGGGCAGCTAGAGAGAAGGGTCAGGTTACCCATAAAGGGAAGCCTATCAGACTCACAGCAGATCTCTCAGCAGAAACCCTACAAATTAGAAGAGAGTGGGGGTCAATATTCAATATCCTCAAAGAAAAGAATTTTCAACCCAGAGTCTCATATCCAGTCAAACTGAGCTTCATAAATGAAGTAAAAATAAAATTTTTCATGAACAAGCAAGCACTCAGAGACTTCACCATCACCAGGCCAGCTTTACAAGAGCTTCTGAAAGAAGCGCTATACATAGAATGGAACAACCAGTAAAAGGTAAAGAGTATCTCCATAATGAAGAATCTATATCAACTAATGGGCAAAATAGCCAGCTAGCATTAAATGACAATATTAAACTCACAAATATCAATATTAATCCTAAATTTAAATGGATTAAATGCCCCAATCAAAGACACAGAAAGGAAAATTGAATAAAAAGTCAAAACCCATTGGTACACTGTATCCAGATCCATCTCATAAGCAAGGACACACAAAGACTCAAAACAAAGCTTTGGTGGAAGACTTACCAATCAAATGGAGAGCAAAAAAAAAAAGGAGTTATAACTTTCGTCTCTGAGAAAATAGACTTTAATAGTAACAAAGACTAAAAGAAACAAAGAAGGACATTATATAATGGTAAAAGGATAAATACAACAATAGGAGTCAATGATCATAAATATATATGCACCCAATATATCTAGGAATACCCAGATACATAAGAGAAGTTCTCAATGACTTATAATGAGACTTGGACTCCCGCACAATAATAGTGGGAGACTTTGACACCACATTGTTAATATTCGACGGATCAACAAGATAGAAAATTAACAGGGACTTGATTTAATCTCAGACCTGCAACAAGTAAATTCAGTGAATATCTATAGAATTCTTCACCCCAGGTCCACAGAACATACATTTTTCCTAGTGCCACATTACACCTATTTTGAAAGTGACCATATAATTGGAAGTAAATCATTCTTTAGCATTTGCATAGCATTTCACAGACTTCAATGAAATATTGGTTGGCTGTTTGTTTATTATTTTCTTCCCTTATTCCTTCCTGTCTCCGCTGATAAGTACAATTATCGGCATAAAACAGGTTTTTAATACCTATTTTTAGATTGCATTCCAGCCTGGGCAATAGAGCAAGATTCCTGTTCTCTCTTCCCTTTTCTCTTTCTCTTAAAAAAAAAAAAGGAAAAAAGTCCACTCTCCTCTGAAATTGGTGCCATTATTACAAAGCATATTACAGAGAGATGTTAGAACATGACTTTTGGAATCAGTGTGAATCTAAATTGGAAAAATAAAGTAACAGTTAACTGCTAAATGTGAGAACAAATTCAGAAATCAGGAAAGTTTGTACTCAATAGCAATATGTAAAAACCTTTTGATGAGTATTTTGTTTGAAAGAAGGGCAGAACAATAATATTATTATGAGTCAAGCCCATTAGTCATCCTGATTATTATGTGAGAAATCATTTTAAGTTTCAAAATATTCATCAAATGCAGTTTGGTGTATTACATTGATTAATATCTAAAATCAGAAATATCATATGCAATGTGATAACTTTTAATAGTCAGTCTAAAAAAATAAGATTAATTATTCATCTGTACATTTTCTCCAATACCCCTTACATGCTTCAAGGCTTTGTTTCATTAATTAGGGTTTTCCTTTGTGTCTTTAACCTTTATGTCTTCGCAGGCTCCATTTACTCTATCTATAAGCATGTCAGGTTTCCTTTCCTGTAAACAAGTGTTTCTCCAACTCTCTTGAGGTACTGGCTTAATGTCTCTTCGTGTTTTTACGACCATACCTACAGTTAGAATGCGTGGCTGTCATTGCCTGCTCTTTCTTGTGGCTGATGAATACTTTCTGGCTTCAGGACCTGTAAGTACACTGGATTTTCTCTCAGTCACTGATGCCCCTTAGGCATTGGATTCAATTCTGTTCTTTGTTTTCACCCTTGTTAACTGGTCATGGCATTTTATTCTTTTGACCAAACTGTGCTTCCCATCTCTGTCTCCCTTGGGTTTCGTATTCCTGTGTCTTTGAGTTCTCCTCTGATTGGTTGCCTTCCTTTTTACTGTCTTCTCTGCTTTTCCTTGTAAACCTGTAAGAAGTTGCTATCTTAACTCTCTTTTGTTTATTTGCTTTGTCTTATCTTTCTGATTGACCATGGCCATAGGAGCTTTACCTTTTGTTCTACGAAAATGACTCCAAATTCACGTCTTTATTTATTTATTTATAATTTATTGATTAAACAGTCTGGGGACTCCATGTTTGGGTCCCTTCCACGAACACTCTTGAAGTCATCTTTCTCTTTCCTGGATTTCCCCTCTGGGGTCCCCTTCCACACTCTCTTGTGGAAGCCTGTCTTCCCCTCCTAAACTCCATCTCTCTCTATTCCTTTCCACTCAGTGTGGAAGCTGCTTTCCTCTCCTGGATTCCATCTTTTTGGATTCTCTCACTCAGTGGGAGAGTTAGCTGTTTCTTTCTCTCTCCTCCTGTTTTTCTCTCTCTCCTATTTCTCTCTCTCTCCTTCTGTTTTTCTCTCTCTCTCTAAATAAATCACTTTTGAGTCCGGCATTTACTGTGCACTGTGCCATGTTCCATGATCCATTGCCCACTCTCTCATTTTTGAGAGGGCAGGAGGCCAAGAATCTGGAGAAACAACCTCTCACGGGAGCTGAGGGCACCCTGAACCCCAATATTGTACTTTGAAGAACCAGCCAGGAGAGGGGTACATCAGCATAGGGGTACAGCCAAAGAAGATTTCAAATTGTGAGTAAAACTGGCCCCATTCTGTCCCGACTCATTGAGAACACCTGAAGTGGCCGAAGCCAGGCAGGGCAGTGGGGAACCTGAGCAGCGGCGCCTCAGAGGCATGACCCACCCCCTCTTAAGCGATGCGGACCAGCCAGAATTAAAAGCGCAGTTTTTTTACCTTCAAGCTCTCTCTCTGCTTTCCATCTCCTTCTCTATCCTTTAGATATTATCTCTAGGACCAAAACCTGAGGGAGCCTGTGGGGCAGAGCAGGCGAGCACGGCCCCAGGGCCTTTTGCTCCTTGCTGCAGTGAACAGCCCAGCCCCAAGGGCGAAACCGAGTGCGAGTGCGCAGCCGTGGGCTGGAGGAAACAGCGGGGAGGGGCGAGGTACAACCGGAGCCTGCGAGGGACCAGGGAGCGCGGCCTGGCGTATGGCTCTGGCAGGCCTTTCCCGCACTCCGCAGTCCCAGGCGGCAGGGTAAAAAGACTCCTCAGGACATTTGCCTTGCCCTCCATGGGTCCCTGTGTGGCCAGTACCTCGGGAAGTGACCCAGGCGTGCAAGTGGTTTTGGCGGGGTCAACATGGTGACTGAAAGCCGTGGAAGCAGAGGAACTCAGGGTGGCCCAGCAGCCTCAACCACGGCTTTTAAACTGACGCGGTAAGTGGCTTTTTTCTTCTGCTGCTGGGTGGCTCTGAGGGAAAGGAAGCGGCCAAAACAGCTGCTGGCGGTCAGCCCCGCCTGGCTTTTAGGCAGGCCACACCACCTCAGGGTGCAGCATTTTTGCTCAAAATATGGCTTAAGAAAGGTTTCTGCCTTCGCTTAATGCAGGTGACCTGTTTGCACAGTTGGTTAAGTGTAGCACCTGCAACTGCAAGGCTGCTGGTTCAAATCCCTGGTGGAGCCAGTCTTGAATTGGTGAGACCTTTTGGGGAAATTCAAAAGCTGAAGGCTATGGGACTTTGTGTTTGGTGTATAATTTATCTTGCTTAGGATTGGCTCTCTCTCTGGCAGAACTTTTCCATCTGGAAGATTATAGTTAAACCAGTTCCAGGGCCAAATAGTCAATGGCAGCTCTCACAATCTTAAGAGCATTTTTCTACAATGGAAAATGGGTTGGGGGAGAGCAGGCCCTGGTCCTGAGGGCATTATTCCAGCGTCGGCCACGCCCGGCTTGCCTTCTTTGAGTTGTGTGCTCTAATAGCCCCTCCCTAGAAGTTCACCCTTCTGGGGCAGTCTTATAATCTGGCTTCTATAAATTGGACTTCTCCTCGGAAATATTGATACCTATATCCTGAGCCTCACTGGTCTCCTTGGGAGTCCTTGGTACGTGACTACCCAACCCAATAGCTCCTCTCGTTCCATGACTCTGTGGTAGTCACCGGAGGTCATGCAGGCAGTGAGTGGTCCTATGACGCTGGTAGGTCCTGATTGGAATCCAGTACATGGGAGCCCCTCTGATAAGATGGGTCATGTATCTTGGGCACACGAAATTTCGGGGTGCTGACTGAGAGACGTTTCATTTCAGTACCCATTTTACCTGGGGGACACCTCAGGTCGAAGTGGCTGTAATTTCTTTAAGCGAGGGTGCGGGCATCCCGTATGTTCAATTTCAGATGGGTGCTTCTATTCCCAAACTCAAGTCTCCATTAAAATGTATACCGGATAATAGGGACCAATTTAGCCCACAGTCTTTAAAGAAGTGGCTTATTTTTCTCTGCCAAACAGTGTGGCCAAATTACCCTCTGCCGAATGGAAAATCTAACCCCCAAAGGGAAGGGAAGAAAACCCAACAGTTTTCCTTGAGTGATTGCAGGAGGCTTAAGGAAATACACCCCCTCATCCCCCCCACCCCTGTCACCAGACTCCGTAGAGGGTCAGTTAATAAAAAGGACAAGTTTATTACTTATTCAGCAGCAGATATCAGGTGTAAACTCCAGAAGCTGAATTTAGGATCCGAGCAGAGCCTAGAATCATTACTGAACCAGGCAACCTCGGTGTTTTCTGATAGAGACCAGGAGGAACAGGCTGAAAGAAATACCAGAGATCAGCCTTAGTCATGGCTTTCAGGCAAACAGACCCTAGGGGCTCAAATGAGGGAAAGGCTTTGGTTAGCTGCTAGTCTGGCAGAACTTGTTACCAGTGCAGTCTGAGGGACATTTTGTATGAAATTGTCCCCAGAGGAATGGATCACCATCTCATCCATGCCCACTGTGCCAAGGGAATCACTGGAAAGCACACTGTCCCAGGGATGAAGGTTCTCAGGGCCTGAGCTATCTGACCGGGTGACCCAATGGCAGGACTGAGGGTTCCTGGAGCAAGTACCAGCACCAGCCGTCACCCTCACAGAGCCCTGGATAAAGGTGACCATTGAGGTCCGGAAAGTCAGTCTTCTCCTGGACACTGCATGGCCTTCCCAATATTTCCCTCCTGCCCTGGAGACTTGGTGCTTGTTAATTGTCTCCCCTCAGGCTCTCCCTCTCTAGGCCCATCCTGGAAAGGATCGTTTTCGGTTATTCTGTCCACTGCAACGGAAGTTAACGTAGTGGGAGTAGACTCATGGATTCATCACACTCTGCTGAAGCCTTGGATGCCCCCTGAGGAAAGTCACAGACCCTCCACTCCACAGCCTGAAGTTCCAGGAGACAACCCTTCATGTCCCTGTTAGCCATTAGAAAATCTACATCTGCTTTTCCAATAAGATCCTCAGGGAATTTATGTCTAATTTATATCCTGGCATTAATAGGACTATAACCGTCAACTTTGCTGTCTCTTGAACTACGAGTATCCTTTTCATAGTGGGAAGGGAAACTGCCTGGTTTTAGGAAAAGTGCTGCTATTTTGTAAACGAAATCATAAAGTCACAAAAAATCCTGCTGCTCGAACCCTGGATGTCCTTGGCTCGTGAGCTTTATTGTGGACCTCTAGATCAACCTGCATCCCTGAAAGACTCCCCTCTGGATGAAATCTCAACTGCAGGGTCCCTTCTATACCCCATTTCAGCAGGAAGTTGTTAAAGAGGACCGACGCCCGTGTTCCAACAGAAGTTGGGCTTTCATGTTCAGAGGGAGGGAATGAGGGAAAGTGTTCTCTTTCCAGGGTCCACAAGAGGGTGTAGTTTTAAGAGGAAGAATTCCAGCACTTTGGGAGGCCGAGGCGGGTGGATCACGAGGTCAAGAGATTGAGACCATCCTGATTAACATAGTGAAACCCCGTCTCTACTAAAAATACAAAAAATTAGCTGGGCATGGTGGTGCGTGCCTGTAATCCCAGCTTCTCAGGAGGCTGAGGCAGGAGAATTGCCTGAACCCAGGAGGCGGAGGTTGCGGTGAGCCGAGATTGCGCCATTGGACTCCAGCCTGGGTAACAAGAGCGAAACTCCGTCTCAAAAAATAAAAAATAAAAAAAAGAGGAAGAATTTCCCAGCACCATGCTCTACTCTCATCTCTCTCCATCCAGGAGATTTAACAGTTTATGTTTGAATTTCGCGGACAGGGAAGAAGTAAGAGTCAATCACTCCAGCAGAAGTTCTAAGGAACTCCTTTCATTGGCCAGGGGTCTTGGAGAAGGTGAGGATTCCTCCCAGGTCAAAAATCCCCTATCTTCCACACCCCTTTGGACTCCATGTTTGGGTCCCTTCCATGAGCACTCTCATGAAAACCATCTTTCTCTTTCCTGGATTTCCCCTCTGGGGTCCCCTTCTACACTCTCTTGTGGAAGCCTGTCTTCCCCTCCTAAACTCCATCTCTCTCTCTATTCCTTTCCACTCAGTGACGAAGCTGCTTTCCTCTCCTGGATTCCATCTTTCTGGATTCTCTCACTCAGCAGGAGAGTTAGCTGTTTCTTTCTCTCTCATCCTGTTTCTCACTCTTCTCTCTCTCTCTCTCTCTCTCAATAAATCACTTTCTACGAACAAAAAGAATCTGGCTGTGTTACCCACGCTGGAGTGCAGTGGCACCATCTCTGCTCACTGAAACTTCTCCCTACCAGGTTGAAGTGATTCTCATGCTTCAGCCACCAGAGTAGCTGGAACTACAGGTACATGTCAATATGCCCAGCTAATTTTTGTATTTTTAGTAGACACAGGGTTTTGCCATGTTGGTCAGGCTGATCTCTAACTTTTAGCCTCAGGTAATTTGCCTGCTTGGCATCCCAAAGCGCTGGGATTATAGGTGTGAGCCACGGCACTCAGCCAAAATTCATGTCTTCTACTCTGAGCTAGAAAGACAGACACACAAACACACACACACAACACACTTCCAGCTTCATGTCAAACATTTTATTTTTCAGCTCTTCAGATTGGACTACTGTTGCCATGGATTTCTAATACTTTTGTGTTAGTGGCTCCACTGTCTTGCCAATAGCTGAAGCTAAAAATGTAGGAGCCATTCCCTATTCTTTAGGCCACTAAATGCAGCCAATGCTAAATCCTGACAAGTTTATCTGCATTTCATCTTCTACTTTTTCATCTCTGTTGCTAATTCACTGATGCAAACCATCACTGCTTCTTTCTCTAGCCTAAATATTCTATCAACCATTTGATCTGTCTTGAGGTTACTTCCTTGACCTTTCTCAATTCATCCTAAATATCCTGACAGATCAAGATCTTTTAAATGTGACTTGAGCTCACATTTAAAATCCCAGCTACTTGGGTGGCTGAGGCAAGAGAATCACTTGAACACAGGAGGCAAGGTTGCAGTGAGCCAAGATCATGCCACTGCACTCCAGCCTGGCAACAGAGTGAAACTCCTTTTAAAAAAAAAGTGACTGGAATTATTTTGTTTCCCTGCTTAGAATTTTTCAGCTTTCCTTCACTTCTTATTGAATTCTTTAAAACTCTTTTACTTTATATCATATTTATGTGTGCTTGGTGATATGGAATACATTCTGAGAAATAAATTGCTTGGCGATTTTGACATTTTGCTGGCATCATACAGTGTACTTGCACAAACCTAGATGGTATACCGAACACCCAGGATATATGGTACAGCCTATTGCTCCTAGGCTACATAGCTCTATAGCATGTTACTGTAGTGAATGCTATGGGTAATTATAACACAGTGGTATTCGTGTATCCAAACATAGAAAAGGTACATAAAAATACGGTATTATAATCTTATGGGATCAACATCATACATGCATCCAGAGTTGACAGAAGTATCCTCACATGGCCTATGACTGTATTTACCTCTTTCAACACTATATAGAATTGACTTACTTATGAGACTCCTTTGGCAAATATCAGTTTCTATCTTTAATTTTTTCTGTTACAAGTTCCTTAAGACCAAAGATCATGATTCTCAGAGTTTTGATCCCTGACTGTACCTAGTATCATGACTTACACAAAGCAGAAATTTAATACATGGAATATATGAATGAAGAATCCTTTGTGCAGAGACTAGAAAGTTGGGTGTAAGCAATAGAGCACATAAATATGTTAACAGCCTTATTTAATATCATAACATTTTAACAAATAAAAAACTGTTTTCTGATTTATTCATTATACTCATTGTATACCTGATACCTAAAAGTAAATTCAATTTTTAATAATAAAAACCAATTTAAAAGGAGATATCTTTAGTATTATCAAATTATAAAAATTAAAAATAGATAAGCTTAGATATTGTTAGAAATCCCCCAAAATAATTTTTTAATACACT